GGTGGAGCGGCTCCGGAGGGAAGGGAGAAGCTGTTAGCCGGCGGGGGTGTATTAAAGGTTGGGAAGAAGCGTGAGGTCTTGAGGCTGAGAGGAGCGGGATCTGTGCCAGGAGCCGATGCAGCTCTCGGGCAGGGCTTGTTGGTGTTACAAGGGAGATTGAGGCTGGGTAGGCTCTTCAGTTTGCAAGTCTCCAAACTTCAGGTCTTCCTAGCAAACCATCTGTTTAGGTGGTGTTCAATAGCACGTGCAGGTTTGCCCCTTTTAGGCAGCCAGTGGGCACTGCCAAAATGCACTGCACCTGTGCCTGCCCCTGCCTTCTCCTCCCATCTGTCTGGGGAAGTTTTCACACTCCAGGTCTCCTCTCCTCTCCTCTTCTAGATGGAGCCAGTGATAGAGTCCGTATTCTCTCTTCTCCAGGAGCCTGGGAAAAGTGATATTGCAGGATATGCAGGTGAGAAGTAAACTCTGCTAGTTGAATCATGGAGGGAAGCTTGAGGCTCCACCAAGTGGTGCTGGGGACGTTGTGTTCCTTCTTCTCATCTGGCTGCTCTGTCCTGGGTTGCTAAGATGGTATGGCGTGCTAGGCTGGGGCAAGGTCGTCAGTGTATTTTGTGTTTCTTTCTGTTGTGGGTTTCTAGCAGCTGTTTTAAAATAAGACAATACAGTTCATTTGGAGTGAAGGAAAGCCAGCACACTTCTCTTTTTCAGGCTTTTTCATGGGTGAGGAAGGTCTGAGGGAGTTGCACAGCTGCATCTGAAATGTGTGACTCCCCAGCAGTAGCTCTGGATGGGAATGGAGGGTTGCTTGGTTCCCATTTCACTGTTAGAGACCTGGGGTCTCTGCATGGGCCTCTGGGAATAATCAGCAGCTTGGTTGTAGAGCGAGGGAATGACTGCTCCTGCGAGAGGGAGTCTTCATCCCTCTGGGAGAAAGCTACCTCTTGGGTGTAATTTCTCAATGTAAGACATGAGCCTCCCTCCCCCAGTACGTATGTTTTTCTTTTATTGCTACTATTTAGACCTTGGCAGTTGTGGCTGTGTAAATAAAGAGCATTTTGTCTCTTCAAGGGCACATTACTTAAGAATTTTATTTCTTGGTGTCATAGAGGTAGGACTAAAATTGCACTGCAAGGTTTTACCTTGAATGTAGAAAGCCTGTTTTTTTTGTTAGTGGAATAATCAAACTTGACGTGTTAAATGGAAGTATATGTAGTGTGAGTAACTGAGTATTTTAATGCTAAATCAGAGATGCTAATGCCTAAGTCCTCTACTTTAATTAATAGTAAACATCTTAAGATGCTTGCAAAAAGGAAGCTCAGAGAAGTGTGTGTCAGGTGATACTTATAATTCTATTAGTGCTGAACTGAGGTAAATATAAAATTTAGTCAGCAGAGTAAGGAAACCAAAGTTTACTGTGGGGTGCATGATCATACATACTCATTTGTGAAATAAATAGGTTGCATTCTTTAGGAAAGAAAGGGCCGTGTTTGAATGTTTCCTGTGAGCTTCCTTGGAATGCAATTTATTTAGCTTGAAAAATACTGCAAGAAAATTAGGTGTCATGCTAGATCTAGATATGAAAGACATAGTAATAGTTAATTGGCAATTAGTTAATTTTTTATCAATTAAAATCTAACTCCTTTGAGTTCTGATGCATAAATATACAGTATCCCTGTAATAATTACAACTGGTCTTGTGATAATTAGGGAAAAAACTTGACGTGCCAACCTGTAAAAGAAGTAATTTAAAAATTTTCAGCAAATATTAACTAACACAAGTGAGAAACAACCTAAACCTCCCTGTTGATTTTGCCTAATGAAGGTTAAGGGGACTTTTTTTGTGTTCAACCATCCTCACCCAAATGCACAGCTTTAAAACAGAGTTTTAATACTAATGTAGCAGGCTGGAAGGCTTTTGAGCAAAGTCTGCACTAACACATAGTTAGAAGTAGGTATTTGTGACAGGTAAGATGTTTCAGCGTGTTCCTTTTCCTTCCTTCATTTTGGCAGTCGTCTTTTGCAATTCCCTGAGGGGAAGAAGAACAAGGAAATGGGGAGGGAAAGGAAGAGAAGAGGTAAGGTTTTTTACCTCTCTCTCCTTCCCTGTGCCATTTTTTCTTTTCCTTGTCTTCTTGTCTCAATCTTCATCATTTCCCTTCCTCTTTGGAAAAGGGGAATCTGGTGCAAGTTGATGCTAGGCCTGAGAAATTCAGTTATTTTACAAGGAGCAGCTTATCTGTCTTAGGGAAGTGGAGTGTCAGATTGCTCTCTTGCTCCATCAGGGGACTGCATTTTGAGTGACAACGAGGAAGAGAGAGGCATCCCCAAAGACCTTAAGGAAGATGTACTGCCGCAGCTACCTGAAGCCCACAGCGGAGACTGGGGGGCAGCCAATCTGCAAAGGCAGGAGAGGGCAGCCTGTAATAAACGCCCCCACCAAAAAAGAGGCTCCAAGAAACTTGCCCTCATTGCTGATGGCCAGAAACTGCACACAGAAGAGAAACCCTACAAGTGTGCAGAATGCGGGAAGGGCTTTAAGGGGAGCACCACGCTCCTGAACCACCTGCAAACCCACACGACAGAAAAAACGTTTGAGTGTGTAGAATGTGGGAAGAGCTTTAGCAGGAAGGCCAACCTGGTGGTGCACCAGAGAATCCATACAGGGGAGAGGCCTTACAAGTGCAAGGAATGTGAGAAAACCTTTAGCCGTACCTCAAACCTTATCGCTCACCGCAAAACCCATGCGAAAAAGAAAGCCTTTTCCTGCACCACGTGCCGGAAAAGCTTCAGTGGAAGCACAGCTCTCTTCCAGCATCAGAGAGTCCACATGGATGAGAAGCCCTATAGGTGTACCGAGTGTGGAAATAGCTTCCGTCTATGCTCAAATTTCATCAAACATCAACGGATTCATTTGAGAGAGAGACCCAGTGAACACACAGCAGGTAACTGAATTAAGATCTGTTGAGTTTTATTTCAAGCTGTGCAGACTCACAGGGGATGTATCAGATACTGTGGGCTCCATTTTTTCCTAAACACTTCCCCCTCCTTGCTGTGGATATGAATGGGGTTTTTTTGTTTGTTTGTTTTTTCCCTTCCTATATACTATATTTATCTTTGTCATTTGAAGAAGTGCCTTGAAAATGCCAAAGTTGAAATTTCGGCTTTGCCGTGAAGGCTGCCTGGGACCTTAAACTCCGCAAAGCTCTCAGATCCCACTAATTCGTGCTTTGTAGTGTTGCCTGATGTCTAGCCCTACATCTTCAGAAGTGCTTAGCCAACAAAATACTGAGCTTAGGGAAGTGGAAGGGATTTAGACTATGAGTTAGGGCCTTGGTAATCTCTAGCAGCTAATTTTTGTTATATGTGAATATTAAATGAGCAGCTTTTTGTTGTCTGCAGTGGGAAGTTTCTGCTAGCCACCCCTCCGTAATACTCTTAGCATAGCATAAGCTGTCAGGCAAGGTAATTGTTTAAAGTAGGGAGTTTTCTGGATTTTGCAATATTCCATGTTCTTGTAATGACCAGAAACTCTGGGATAAAAACTGACATGGTGGGTTTTTTTCTGTTGTTATACCTTTATATGGGCAGTCCCTTTACACTTGGTCAAAAATGTTTTAACTTTTAATCTTGGGTCTTGCCTAGCCACGCGAAGAATTGTTCTGGGTGTTGGGGTGTTGACCAGCAGATTGTGCAACAGCAGGGCAATTAAGAGATGAGGCCGTATGAGAAAAAGGTGGTTTTGTGTGTGACATTTTTCTGATTTTTTTGATTTGGTTTGGTTTGGTTTTCCTCCTGAAAAAAAATTCTGAGCAGGAGAGCCTTTCATCTTTACAATGGAAATAATAATGAAGTTATAATGAATAATAGTGAAGTTACAATGAAATGGCAAAACTGAATTCCTAAGGCAGGGTTTGAGACCCCTCAGTCCATAGATACAGAGAGGTGGCCTAGTAACTCTGCTAATGAGCCATAAAGATGGGCCTTTACACTACTAATGCTTTTTTTCTTTTTTTTTTTTTAATTTGAGGGCTTTTAATAGTTTTTAGATGTAAGAGTTTATAATTTGTAGAGAAAAAAAAAAGATATAGTCTCATTTTTACCCTGGCAATTGGCCAATAATTAGTATCAGATCAACCTAATACTATACCTTCTTCAAAAGAAAGTGTGCAAACTTATTCTGGAGTAACTATTAGCTACTGCATCGTTGTAATTGAAGCTCCATAATAAAATAGCTTTTATGATCAAACATATGCCACATTGGCCTTGCAATGTGTGGATTAGGGATGAAACTTGATTTCTGTATCTGATATGATTTCAAAGAAGAGGTTTACATATTTATAACTTGTGTATTTTTACTAAATCCCAGCTGTCCTATTCCTTAACAGCTCCCATGCTCCAGCTTTCCTTCCTCCCCAACCCAAAAAAAAAGGTATGGAGGAAGCAAGAGGAAGGTACCTCGATTGTGATAAAACGCAAGTCTGTAATGTTTCAGGGACTATATCTGCCTAGTCTTTGTTCTGTTTTGTCTTAGTTTGGCCCAACACGTGACTTAAATGAAGTTTTAAGTTTAAAATGTGGGTGAGAGGAAAGGTTGTTACTGAGCTGCCTTTTCCTTGTGTGAAAGCGTATTTAAATGCTCACCTGGCAATTGGTGATAAAGTGGGCTCTTGACTTACGCTATCTTCCTTTTAGATGCAAACCATTCTGAATTTACATCTCTGCATCATAAAGAGCAGCAAAGGTGTGGTGCAGATAAACGTGAGACGGATCACTTGAATCTTGTTCTTGAAGAGTGTAAGTATAAAAAGGCTTCTAAATTGCCATGCGAAGTATTTTTACATAGCAAGCATTAACATTCTTTTCTCTTTGTACAGTGAAGAAGATGAGGGAAAATATGGATATGCTTCTTCTGAATCAGCAAAGTCAGCTGCAGGTCCTGCAAGAAATTCAGAAACAACTGAATATACTCCTCCCAGGCAATGATCTCATTAATTCAAACGTCTATAGCTTAGGACTTCTGCTAGGACGGCAGGCAGCTGCAGCGGCGTCTCTTTCTTTTCCCCTTCTTAATCCCAGCAGCCTCCTCCCTGAAAATGCCAGTCTCTTATGCCAGTCATCTGCTCCTAGAAGTCCGCCCACCACTCATCTCCCAGTCTCTCAATATCCTGCAGCTTCTACTTGATCAGCTTTGTGCTGTAAATGTATCCAATGTAAACAAATGTGACTACTGTTTCTCACTCAAATGTGATCTCTGTGTTGTAATGTTGAAATTGTAGTACCCATGAAGATGCTGGCCACACACTCAGACCTTGAAAGATACGTGCCTCAGATGCATCAGCAAACAGCAGTTGATCAAATCCACTGCCCATTCATTTGTTGCAGCATGCAGACATTTTGGCCAGTAATGTATTTTGTCAAGGCAGCTTGAGGGATTATCACCGGGAAGTGTTTAAGTGCAACATCCTTATAAGATAATGCATAAAATTTAAGCATATTTTTCTACCTGATATGTCTTTAATATGTACTTGGGCAACTGAACCTCTCCTAATGAGCTGAAGCTAATGATAAAATCATCAGGGATGCTTTAAGCAACTCCTGTTAAGTCTGATTTATATAGAGGTAAGCAACATGCTTATATAAAGGTGTTCAATTTAATTGCACCTCTATTCCCACAATCCATTTGTAAAAGCTTTCTTCATTCAGGAAGGCTTTAAATGAGGTGACCTTAGCTGATTCTTAGGCCAGCATCACTACTAAAACTACAAAAAATATTTTCTGATTTTTGCTTAAAACAAACAGCGCTCCCCCTCCCTCCCTCCTCCCCACCCCCAACC